GAGATATGCCAACCACCTTAAATGTTCGTCCCCAGTTATGAGAATACTGAAATGCAAAAAAAACTGTAGAAAAGAATAAGGCGTAAGTTGTTTTGTGGCGATAAGATCTTGTGTCTCTAGTCTTATTTTAGCGCTTATTGGACATATTTAGTTTCTATGCAGCTAATCGAGAGTTGGATGATGTTTTGCGTTTTCACTTCAGTGATACCTCCATATGGATAAAGCAGAAGGCTGCGCGGAGAACGTTTAGCGTACGTAATACTTGCACTAGTTTCTATTATTCCATCCCCAGAACCCGAAACTGGATTGAAAATTCGACATTTCGTAGAAGAAACTGGACCATTCTTTTTTAAAGGCTGGTTTTTTGGCCGTCAAGAAAACAGAGATCCATAGCCATCCTTAAAGCTGTAAAAGTTCCGGTACTCCAATAAACTGTATTGAAGGACGGAAGCTCAGCATGCCCGATACCAAAACCACGAATTCATTTAAACGAATAAATAGCTAACTAACTACCTCACGTATCAGATTTGGAAAAGTGTAACTCCTCAGTCTTTTTATCTAAGTTTGACGTCAAAAGTGTAGCAATGTGTTCCTCTTCAGTTCATAATAACTGGTTGCATCAGATTTCATTGCAAAAGCATTGTGTAGTTTTAACGTAAGGGATAGCTTGAGGCTCCTTTAAATGCCAGAGCAATGAGTTAAGACGTTTAAAAATATTCACAACAGTTTTCATCATATGTAAGCAATAGATTACTGGCCTGCAGTATTTAAGCTCCCTCTGAACCGCCAGCTGCAAACGTATCAAATGCGATAACTGACAAGTCTTTCGCTAGTTCATCATGAAACCAACGGAATTTTATATTGTTCTTGCTTCATTTTAAACTTACTGTTCTCAGAACACAATTTCACTCACATGAAGATGTCAGTTTTCGAGAGTTCAATCTTACTTGAACGCATACCATTGTGTAGGTGTACACTGTTTTTTCCTCCTGTGATGTTCAAAACAGTTTTGTTTATTCCACCCGACCTCGCCACCTTGACGACATTGCAATTGCCCAAACCACGATATCATTAAGTTTGGGGTTGGACCTATAGAGGAGATTTATTTACCTTAAAGTGAAGTACTCACACCAACGATGACGCTAATACTGAGCGCCAAATTAAGGTAAACAAAGGGAGATCGTGGCACCAACTCTGCACAGTACCGAGAATTATAACCCCGCGTTGATAGCAGCGGTGGATACTTCAAATGTTTTCGATAACCCTTCATCGTTCATGGATCTTCGTGGGTGGCGTGGTGTACTGGTAATGGGCTTAGGGCACCACCTCCCTCTCCCCCATTTCTTAGGTATAATAGTTTTGGCAGGTCTATTTTGAATAAGTATCAACTTATCATTATCTTCCAACCACTACTTCTCTTCTGTAGCTGCCTAAAATTTGGTTCGAAACAGAGGGAGACGAATTCGAGACTTCTTTTAACTTTGTGAAGCAAAGAGAAGAACCAAATTCCTAGAAGAAGTTTAATTGATGTGAATTTATCGCCTATTTTACTCATTTATTTGGACTTCAGAGAAACATTAGGCTCCGTCGACCATAATTCTACTTGTAGGCAAGACTTGCATGTTTTACCAAAAGATCCAAGTCTTGTGTATGTTCTACTTTAGTCTTCGGAAGTTCTAGGTATTCAGGGA